TTCAGTTATACCAGTTACATCTAAAAATGCCTTTCATTGAAGAGAGAAATCAGTATAAATACTTTGGATTTATACCATTTCTGTCCCATCTGAAACCTAAACTTTAAGCTCTTTGGGGCAGAGATTGTCTTCTGTACAATGTGTCTGTACAGTGCTTAGCATGCTGATTTCTGATTATGCTTCATAAGAGATATCATAATGCAAGTACTAATGAAAGTTGAAGATGGTTCAGAGGATGTGTCATTCATGGGCATCTTTGGGCCAAACTCAGTGGTGATAGAAAGTTTTATGTATTATACATGATATGATAAGTGACAATATAGTGTGCCAATTTGGCACTGAGTGGGTGTGCAAATCATGTGTAATTTACATATTGAGGGAAGATAGCAATAACATCAGCTAATGGGAATTGACTTGGATGAGGTTGTACCTGCTTATATTGTACTAGGACTAAATCTGGTCCCTACAAAAAGAGGGGGGGGAAAGGGTGTTACTCTTCTTTTTCCTGCCCACCAAATGCCAATTTTATGCATATTACACTACCCAACTCCTTTCTTTTGACCAACTTACACCAACTTTATATCATCTTTTACTTTAACCCACTGTGAATCAACATAGAAGCACTTTATTGTCCTGACATAAATTTGCCTAAAAATTTATTTCCTAATAGGAAAACACAAGGCAATTGCGTGTTTATGTTTGCATTAACGATGGACAAGTATCTAAATAGCCTGTACTGCTATTCTAAGGGGCCTATAAGACATCCGTATAATTTAGCATAAGGAGGGAGGTTTTTGTGTGTGTCTTGACCTGTACACTTCATTTCCTTGTTTTGGGATGATCAATAACTAACTGATGAAGATAAGTTGTAAATTCTGATTTACAGAAAAAGGTTTCTCCTGTTTATAAAAATAAAACTATCTTTGTTGAGGTAACCTACAAATGTAATAGGAAAACAGTCTCAACCTCTTTCATTCGTACTTCTTTACATGTTCAGGTTAAAACAATCCCATAATATTTCTTGACTACTGGTGCCAACTCATTTTTCTCTTTGTGCTTCAGAGCTGCTATAGATGTCACAGATCAATTGTCAGCGTGGAAGTAATCTGTCATTTTTACTTTGTATGTGCCTCTTTGTTCAACAGCAAGATTGTTGCACAGTGTATTGAAAATGGCCAGCGATTAAACATCAAAATCATTCACCTAAAATAGGGAAATAAAAAACTCACATCAAATTTCGCATGTTCCTCAATAGATTGGGCATGTTCTGTGTTATGCAGGAATGCTGTTTTACATTGGAAATAAGCTTTTACATAAAAACTGAATCAGGACATTTCCAAGGAAGCTCGGGCATGCCTCTGCTCAACCCGCAGTATGTATTCAGAGGCTGCACTGACTTGCTCCAGGCCTCCTCACAGTGTGTGTGTGAATTGTTCCACTGAAGGGTGGGACTTAGGAGCTAATTGAACATTATAGGGAAAATGGCATATGAAAAAACTGAGTTGAGGAGAGATTGAAAAGACTGGAATTGTGTATGTTAAAAAGGAGACAGATAAGAGGGGGCTTGACAAAATTGTACAAAATAGTGAATGGTAAAGAGCAGGTAGATTGAGAGCTTCTGTTCTCCCCATCTCAGAACATAAGAACAAGGGGAAATTTAATGAAATTAAAAGGTAGCAAATTCAAAATTGAGAAAAGGAAATATTTTTTCACACAACATGCAGTTAGAACTCATTGCCCCAGGAGATCACTGAGGCAAGGAACTTTGCGAGATTTGGAAGGAATTGGACACTTTTATGGATAAGAAGACTATCCAGAGACATAATAGTTAATGCTGACAAAAGTTTTGGAAGAGATACTAAACCTGATGCTTCAGGTTTTAGCTAATCTCTAAATATTAGAGATCAAGATGAGGCCTAATATAGGAGACAGCTCCCACATCTGCCTACTGCAGGATTCTTTTGCCCCCGTCAGCACATCTCTCACCTTCTATTTAGTTATCACTTAGGTAAGCAATACATTTTGTGTTCATTTAAAGCAAAACCCCTCATCCCTGGCCCCGCCCCAGAGCCGACACCCCCAGCCAGAGCCCACACCCCCTCCTGCACCCCAGCCCCACCAGAGAGCCTCACCCCCATCCCGCACCCCAACCCCCTGCCCCAGCCCAGTGAAAGTGAGTGAGGGCCGAGGAGAGAGAGCGATGGCAGGAGGCGGGGCCTTGGAGAAGGGGTGGCGCAGGGGCAGGGCCTCAGGGAAGGGGCAGGGCAGGGGTGTTCAGTTTTGCGTGATTAGAAAGTTGGAAACCCTATCTCTGTGTCTGCAACCTGGACTTTTTTGCTGCTATATCTCACTGTAAATATATATTAAGATTGCTTATGTTCTTAGATCTTTTTTCATCATTACCTCTTTCCTGGTTTCTCCCTCTCATTGCACATTTGGGGATGTGGGGGGTGTAAATTATGATGCAAATGCTTTCCAGTGTAATGCAGAAATAAGTCATAAAATGTATTTGTAAGACAGCTCACCCAGCAGAAGGCCAAAAACAATATTAAGTTCACAGAAGTAACTCTTAAATCTTACCAAAAAATAAAAAAAGTAATATTCAAACAACTACAACACTAATTCTTCCAAGAGAGGACCTTTATAAAAGCAAGACAGAAATTAAGCTAACTGTGGAAGTATGCTGAACAAGTTCAATATTTACATTTTGTTAGGGTAGAAATGGGACCTATTGCCTGTGTATTAGGATTATGCTTGCCCATGAGGTTTCATTGTCACATTCACCATATGCTTCATTGCTCACTGCTGTTCTTTGGGATGAAGACAGCTGGTGAAATATAATAAATTAGTTATAACGCAGATAACCTGTCTTAGTTTAATGTCCTTATCTGGATTTCACCCACTTAATTTCATCCCAGTAGTGCTATTTCTAATGCTTTCCAGCACTGTGACCACCTGCATCTACCTTTTCCAGCACCATCATTAATTTGAGCCATTGTTTAAGCTTTGCAGATACTATTGTAATTTCCAAATACTGTGTTCATCTCCATCTCTGAGAGGACAACTATATTCTGAAAAGCTGCCCTGGCATTTGAAAAGTGTTTTTGTTTGGTTTTGTCTTCTCAACCAGTAGTTACAAATCCGATAGGAGATAAGTTTGGTGATGGAACAGTACAACTATGCTTTAAAAAAATGCATCAACTCTCAGAATCTGGACCGTCACACCATCTGTGATTACCAATGATAAAAAGAAAATGGAAGAATAGCAGTTTTCTCCTGGCTCCACTTTCCCCATGTGGTAACCTTCTCATTCTTTCTCAGCAGAAGTTACAATGGCTAGCAGCTTCTTAGTCAGCCTCTCCTCTCTCTAACTGTAGCATAACATCATACTAACTGGAAAAAACTGTATAGTCACTCAGGCCTATTGCTTTGCTTGTCATGTGACCTCTCTACAGCAGGACGCACTCTTTGCCTGAGTCTCTGGCTTACCTGGGTCACCTTAACAAATTCTGCAAAATGAAAACCCTTGCTGTTAAAAGTAGCTTTATTAGGCCTTATCTACACACACAAGTTGTACTGCTAACTATAGTGGTATAGTTAAAGTAGTACAACTCCACTAGTGTGGGCACAATTATATCAGTGTAAAAGTGCTATAACTACTCCTGTATGGGAAGGGGAATAAGTTATACTGGTATAAGGCACTATTGTATCCGTATAACTGCATCCACCCTAGGAGTTGTACTGGTCTAACTATTTCAGTAACAAATCACTCCTCTACCAAAACAGTACAAACTAGTGAATGTACCTGGCGTTAATGCAGTCCCTTTCGAGTCAGTTGGGTTGGATTTAAAAATTCCGATTGGTTATGGTATGATAGTGATCACAAAATAAATAAAGTGTTTTCTACCACTCTGCAAACTGTTATGTTTCTGTTCCCTGAAATACCAAAAAGCAAGAGATTTCTCCTGGTCAGGATTCTCCCTTTTGTAGTCTCTCCAGGATGCACCTGATGCTTTGTCAAACTCTCTGCTGTAGGATGGGATTAGAGTCAAACCAGAAGCAAACCTGATTCATCCTGTTGATATTAGTTCACTGTCCCTCTGATGTGTAGCCTGTTCTTTCAGCATCATTTTTGTCCTACTTTTTAGATCTGTACTTTTGCTGGTTCTGTCTATTTCAAAACAGTACCCTTCAATATACTCTCACTGCATTTAAAATTTACTACAGGAATATGGATAAAATGTCACTGTAGATTAAGGTATTTTAGTCTGTTTTGGTTTTAAAGGTAATTCTTAGTCTTTGCATTTTAGAAACATTTATATGTACAGAATTTCCTGCTTGACTAATATTTGTAGCTTGTTTTAATCATATATATTTTAATCCTTATTCCCATTTAAGTAGTCATATTACTGTCAGATAGTAAATCTATATCCAACAGTAAACCTAAAATTAGTATTGAAAGATCAAAAGTGTAAAGTGCTGCTGCTCAGTGAAAGAGTCTGTCGAAGAATTTCTTGTTTCAATATATTGCTATTGCTTTCTTAAATCCCCACTGAATCAGTGAAGAGTCCAGAGTTCAAATGAATACATGAGGTGAAAAAATCATCCCTCATTCCTGCTATCAGCTTTATCCCATGGAGAACCAGCCCATGGGCACTAACGTGTACAAATCTGCACATCACTCTCAGTACTCAGACATGCGCAACAAATCCGTGCTAACTCCTTTCATCTTCACTGTTATCAAGGGTTCTCATTTTAGTATGAGGAGCGTTTTCAATCCTTGCTTCCCTGATGAAATAAAATAAACCTGTTGCTATGGATACCCATCTTAGTATGAGAAAGAGTTTGTGCTGATAGCGAGCTTTGCAGATGAACACTATTTTGCAATTGTCTTTGGTTTTTAAGTAGCACAGTCTCTATTTTACATTTTTCTCCAATAAAGCACAATATTTCCATTAACGAATTAATCTTGATTTCTTTTTTTTTTATTCCTTCTGTAGCTGTAACTTATACAAGTTACAAAAAAACGCCGCCACCGGTACCCCCACGTACCACTTCCAAGCCACTCATCTCAATTACAGCACAGAGCAGCACAGAATCCACCCAGGATGCATATCATGATAGCCGGACTCAGAGGATTTCCCCATGGCCTCAAGATGGTCGAGGGATGTACAACTCTACAGACAGTTTGGACAGTAACAAGGCCATGAATCTTGCCATGGAAACTGCCGCTGCACAGCGCCATGCTTCTGAGAGTCAAATCACTTCAGTACGAACCAGTGACAAGGCCATTTTAGTGACAAAAGCTGAGGAGTTTCTTAAGAGTCGACGGTCCTCTATAGGGATTCAGGTAGCCTATCATTAACATCTGTTCTGTGATGAATTGCTTGCCTTGGTTCTGTAAATAGCATAGAATGAGTCATTCAGCTTCACTGACTCTAATAATCTAACAAACAACCCCTGGCTGCTTAGCATTAATTGTAATTCGCATCATGCCAAAGTGGCTGTGCAGAAACCTGGAAGTGAAATGAATGAATAAATCTCTAGGGAGGTTACCTGTCATTAACACTTGATATGAAAATTATATTGAAGATCTACAGGTGAACTGCATGTTCATCTCTTTCACTCTGTGAATTCATAATCTTTTTTTATAGAACTATGTCAGCTTTAAAATCCTGGACTGCATTTTTTCATTATCTTTCCTTTTTGACCATGGGGGATGGGTGCTGATGCTTCTTCTGTGTTTATTGTTTGGCTGGATGGTTTTTGGTTTGGGTTTTTTTTAATTATTATTTAAAAATAACTTCTCCAACTCACCAAAAGCAAACCAGGACCGGGAGCTTTGTTGGGGATAAAAATATAAAAAATGTGTCAGTATAGATGGACAGGGAATTGTAAACTGGACAGTAATTATGTAGAATTATAAGAAAGTCCTTTGAGTAAATTTGTGTGACACACAAAATATATTTTTTGGCTTACAAAATGTCTGTCGTTCTATGGAACATACTGTCACACTAGTTTCAGTTGAATGAAATATGATCTAGAATGCAAATTTTAAATCATATTTCTTCTGCTGACTGGCAGATACTGGTGCTGGTTGTCATTTAGTCATATCTCTAGCAAATGCTGATTATTAATAAATATACTGCAGGTGACCCTGCAAACAATTCAGGACCCTTTGAGGATGAAGGAGCAGGTTCTGTGCCTGCAAACACTTAGGCATATACTTAACTTTAAGCATGCAAATGTTCCCATTAACTACAGTGGGACTACTCATCTGTTTAAATTCATTTCATACAGTCTCTTAGTACAGGTGATGACCAACATTTTTAGTAGGGCTCTGATGATTCTTTGTGTGCAGCAGTTTTGGTAATGTGGGTTTATAATCCCTTAATCCATCCATGCAGTGATTTACAGGGACACAGTGGAATACCTACAGCAACCCAGCATTTGGTGCTTGGCTCCTAATTCTGGTTTTCAAGTTTGATCACTGTAAATGACAAAAGCTGTTTGTGAAAGGTCAGAGTCTAAAAAGGCTGAAGCATATATTTTCAGAAGTGCAGATACCTCTTATGCATCTTTTGGAGGATTTTGTATATAAGATTAAAATTACAAAATTATCGCAGGACACAATATATTTGTACTGGTTATTTCTGCAGTAAGTTCCAAATGTTACATCTGTGTGAAAACTATTCATCGGCAACATTTCTTAGCAGAAAATACATTTTGTCATATTCCTGTTGCTTTGTTTGCAATGAATAATAAAGCAGAGTAGAATAATTTTATTTCAAAATACAGAAAAAATTGAGTTCATGCCTCAGAAATAAGACTAAACTACTTCAGTTCGGTTAGCCTTCTGCATCAAAGCACCTAAGATAAGGATGTTTTTTATTTACATATTACCTTGATAGACTGCATTACTAGCTTCCTCATTAGAATGCAATGCAGTGCATCTGAATATATTTGCATTAATAAATTTTGCATCTTCCAGGATGGATAATTAGTGCATTATTAATGTTGCTCTGATTTAACAAATTGGTTTGAAAATTATTTCTATTACGGTTCTAGACAATATGAGACAGTCTGAAACATAAGGCAGACTGCTACTATGAAAGTCTTGCAACCATACAGGTTGTGAAGATGATAGATTACTAACATTAACACCAATCTAGCAATGCTGCTGCATGTGGAACTGTACAGTTCCTGCATGTGGAACAGCTACAGAGCCCAGCCCTTTATAGGAAAAAGAAACATTTTCTGTCCTTAATCTTGCACCATTCAAGTCAGTGGGAGTCATTGACTTCAATAGCCCTCTATTCCCAAAGATGAGCAAACTGTAAAATATTAAACTCTGGTTAAAATTTAGACACTGTTCTATAATATGAATTGTAGTTAAGTCTTCAGTTTTGTCATTTCTGTAGTGAGAGTCGTGAAATTACCAGAAAGTCATGAGAGTACAAGAAACTACTTTGATATAGAAACAAACCCAATGTATGTCAAGATCAAATCACGATTACATTATTGGAGAAAGTTGTGATATGTAGTATAGAAAATGGACTCTTTCCTTCATTTGTCATGTACAGGGCACCCTTCAAAATGGGTAATTTGTATTTATTGTTTGCAGGACCCTCTCTACAGTAATTGTTACAAATGCAAAACCTATTTTGCTTTAGTCTGCATTAAAAATGTTAATGGTGACCGGATACTCAACACAAAATAGGAAAGGAATGGGCTAAAGATTATGTAGATAAATTGGATGTATTCAAGTCAGCAGAGTCTGATGAAATTCATCCTAGGGTACTTAAGGAACTAGATGAAGCATTCTTGAAACTGTTGGCATTTATCTTTGGGGACTCCTGGAGCGTGGGTGAGGTCCCAGAGGACTGAGCAGAGGTGACATGGGGGGGTACCACATGGGGTCACATGCCCTCCCAGATTTGCTGCTTTGCTTGTACTGAGCATGCTCACATGGACTGTTGAAGCTGCTGCTCTTGCTCTGCGCCCACACTATCGGCGGGTACGGGTCGTCTCTGGGACTGGGGAAGGGCAAACAGTACCTGTCTTTAAAAACAGGGAACAAAGAGAACCTGGGGAATTACAGAACAGTGATTTTAACTTATATACCTGGAAAGATAATGGAACAAATTATTAAGCAACGAGTTTGTAAGCACCTGGAGGATAATAGGATTATAAGGAATAGTCAGCATGGACTTGTCAAGAACAAATCATGCCAAACCAACTAGTTTCCTTCTTTGACAGGGTTACTGGCCTAGTGGATGGGGGGAAGCAGTTGATGTGATATAGCTTGATTTTGGTAATGCTCTGGACACTGTCCCGCATGACATTCACAGAGCAGTTATCAATGCTTTGCTGTCAATCTGGAAGGATGTATCTAGTGGGGTCCTGCAGGGGTCTGTCCTGGGGCTGGTACTATTCACCATCCTCATTAATGACTTGGATAATGGAGTGGATAGTATGCTTTTAAAATTTGCAGATTGCCCCAGGATGGAAAGGTTACAAGCATGTTGGAGGACAGCACATGTCAGGGATGGTCTATGGATACTTAGTCCTGCTTCATCCCAGGGAGATGGCCTAGATGATCTCTTGAGGTCACTTCCAGCCCTACATTTCTATGATGCTGTGCCAATCCACTGTATGACAGCTGTAGTATGAAGCTTCATGGGCTGTAGTGGTACAGTTAGTCTCAGCTGGACTCCATGAGTTTTCTACATTATGACATGATGCAACCGAATACATGCCTTGGATGAAAGGCAAAGTGGATTCCACTATTTTTGTATATATTGCATGGAAAACATTAGAGATTATTAGAAATTGCTTGTTTTATTTTTCTCCTTTCTCTCATAGTAGCATTCTGTGAGACAAGAACCTATCAGGTGCCACTTTCCCGAGTCACAGTCATGATACAGACATTTAATTATAAGACCCTACTATGGTATCAACCTTTCTTGGGAAGCTCCAAAATGCAGATTTCTGCAACACTATCTTAAGAGCAAGAGTTGCATTCACAGCACCTCCCAAGTGGTAGTATTTTGTACATATGCCCTTGCTATACTTTTTAAACCAGTATAGCAAACCGTCCTCTAAGTGCACCCTGTCACCATGGAGGTGAGCAAATTCAAAAAGTAATTGTAGATGGAGAATCATCATCCAGAGAGGGTATTTCTATTGGCAGCACATAAAGATCTGTTCTTGGTCCAGTACTGTTCAATATTGTTATCTATAATCTGGGAAGAAACATAAAATTGTTGCTATTAAAGTTTGTGGATGAGACAAAAAATGGTGGAGTGGCAAATAATGATAAGGCCAAGTCAGTTCTACAGAGCTATCTGGATTGCATGATAAACTTGAACAACATGCATTTTAATACAGCTAAATCCAAGGTCATACATCCAGGAACTAAGAATGTTGGTCATGCGCAGAAGCTAGGGAACTGTATTTTGGAAAGAAGTGACTCAGAAAAGGAGTTAGGGGTCGTGGTGAATAACCATCTGAACATGAGCTGCCAGTTTGATGCTAAAGACTGGTCTAAACATGATTTTTGTACTTATAGAACTATTTCACTTCAAGTGTGATTATTTTTTTCTTTTCTTTTTTCTTTTTTTACTGAAACAGCGATACTGGCACTAGCCCTAGTCATACAGTTATGCCTGTATAAATCACCTTTACCAATATAACTGCATGCTTGTTACGGGGTTGTACTGCTTTAACTATACAAGTATACTTAAAGCAGTACAAATGTTGTGTGTAGACTAACCCTATGACAGCAAATACAAACCTTGGATTTTCTTGGGGATATTAACTAGAAGTAGGGAGGCATTACTACCTCTGTATATTCATTAGGAGACCATTACTGGAATACTAATGTCCACACTTTTAAAAAGATGTAAACAAATTGGAAAGCATTCAGAAAAGATCTACACGAATTAGTGGAGTTCTGGAAAATCTGCCTTATAACAAAAGACTTATGAAGTTCAGTCAATTTAGTTTATCCAAGTAGAGCTTTAATGGTGACTTGATCATGGTCTGTAAGTTCCTACATGGAGAGAAGGTTTCTGATAGTAGAGGGCTCTTCAGTCTAGCAGACAAAGGCATAACAAGAGCCAGTGGTTGGAAACTCAATCCAGACACATTCAGACTAGAAATAAGGTGCATATTTTTAATAGCAGGTATGTGTATACTGCAATCAAACACCTGCGGCTGGCCCGTGTCAGCCAAATTGGGCTCATGGGGGTTTGGGTTAAGGGCTGTTTAATTGCAGCGTAGAAGGTTGGGCTTGGGCTGTGACCCCCTCCCCACAGGATCCCATACCCAAGCTCAAATGTTTGCATC